GGAAATCTCCCACCCTCATTTCACCCCTCAGAAGAATTTCATTTTTGGAAGCTGATTCAGTCCCAGTCTCTGCCAGAATATGAAGGAAAACTTCTGGCAGGCTTGGGGGTTACAAGGAGGATGTCAACTGGCCCATGCAGCCTTGCCTTCCGTCGGAGATCGATGCTTAAAACAAGCACAGTGGATATTTAGTTCTGCTGAATCCATCTGCTGTGTGGTGGAGACACGGAGCATCAGTCAGGATAAAGACAAAAGGCTTGGAGCTTCCTTTTCCTCCAGCCTGCTTAACAGGGCCACTCACAGCTGCGGAATTCCTCGCCTCCCTGAAAAATTTTCATTGTGTGGCTGCCAAGCCTTTGTGTTAATTTGAATTTGGAGCTGTCGCTGTTGGCTTAGCAGAGGCTCGAAATCACGCAGCGAAACGATTCCACCGCATTGAAGCGAGGAGGCTCTTTTTGTGCCCCATGCGGTGGGGAAGCTGTTCCCAGCCGGAGCGGCAGCTCGGTGTGGTGCTGGTGTGCGTGCTTGGAGGCGGCTCGGTCGGAGGGGTGGTTGGAGAAGAGCATTGGTTAGGAGCAAATCTGGTTGGTTTGGCAGGCGAAATGCCCTGCCGGCGCACAGAGCTCTTTGATACAGAAGAAGACGGGGTGGTGTGGTTGGTGGAATGGTTCTTGCTCTGCTGTCGAGATGGCAGAAGACATCCTTCCTCCTGCCCCGTCTGCTTCCCTCTCCGTGTCCCTTACCGGGAGAAATCCCTTGCAGAGTCGTGTCAGGAGCTCGCTCCAGCTTCAGTCCGGGCTGTGCCTTCTCCCCGGCACAGGGGCAAGCAGGGCCCCTTTGGCACTGCTCGCCACCGGTTCTGCTTCTGCAGGCTGGTGTCTCTGCTCAGCTTAAGGCAGCTTGACTTAAAGTGGTTTAAACCTCTCGCTTTCTACCAGGATTTGTATCAGCTATTTAAACCACGTCATCCTCTTTGACTCTAATGCTCTGTATTTCTAGCTGCTCGCTCTTCTTCGAGAAGAGTTTATAACCATCTACAGACGTGTACACGTTAAGCAAAACCTTTATTTTGAATATTTCTTGCTGTCCAAAAGAAGAAACCTCCCTGTGATTGTGGTTTAGATCTGCCTGTGTTTAGCTTAACACTGGAGTTTGGGAGAGAGTTAACTTTTGTGCCGATAGGAGTGTGGTATTAACTGCTCCGCTCTTGCAGATCAGTCTTCAGCGAAAAGCAACAAATCTCTGACTTCAGAACTGCTAAGATTTGCTAATCTAAAATAGTTTGAGCTGTAATGCTCAGGGGTTTTCTTCCAACTGTCCTAACACAGCAGTGTGTGAGCGGGCACAGGACAGGACGCAGGAACAACCACAAAACCACGGATGAAATGCAAAGAGTAGATTTATTTTCGTTACCTCGCGAACCAGGGGATCTCTGAAGCAGCACCAGGGCAGAGGCACACAGGCGGGGACGCAGGCACTGCGGAGCTCCGTCCTCGCCGGAGGACCACCAAACTGGCTGTTTCCACCTGTATACCAGGGATTCGCGCAGGCGTAGTTTACCACTGTGCTTTCATCTTTCCCACAGCAGGACAGGAGTCTGAAGCGGGTTGGGTAGGGTGCCTCCGAGTCTGTCACCGGCCTATGTTACCTAAACACAGATGTTCTGCTTGCCAAGCAGACAAGGCTAAACAACAACTAGTTGGATATATGTGTTTTTCCACACCCCAGCCACAAGTCACTTGAACGTGTTTACAACCCTCCTCGCCGGTCTTCCATTATTTTCCCACAGGTAGGGTTTTTAGCCTAGTCATCAAAATGAAGGAATGGAGAAAACTGGCAGTTATGACCCAGGAGCAAGGTGCCGGAGCTGTCGTTGGCTGTTGCCAATGTAGATGGCTCAGTGCTGCAACAGCCCTGCTGTGAGCAAGACCGTGGTGGGTCTTGGAGTAATGCCGAGGACCTCCGTTAAGCATCATTCCAGATCCTCTTGAACAGCATGTGCAGTTCTGGCCTTCACCTTCAAAAAGGATGGAGGGACTGGAGAGGGTACAGGAATCATGATTAGAATGGCCAAGGGACTGGAGCAGCTACTTTGCAAGGGGAGGGTGGGCAGGCTGGGACCCCTCAGGAAGCAGAACATGATCTAGGGGGATCACACTTGCACCTCACCACACATTGTAGTGGTAGAACCAGGAGGCAGTTGATGAAATAGCAGAAAATAGGTGCAGGAAAATAGAAAGAAGGCACTCCTGTATGGAGCAGGCAGGAGCTTCTGGAGCTTGCAGCCCCAGAGGCAGTGGAGGCAGGTTCAGATGCTCATGGGCACTGAATGGATGGGGCAGGGACGTCCCCTCTGGTGTCCCTGGCTCTGTGGGTGCCGGGACATGCTGGGTGCTGGTCTGTGGGAAGAAGTCTCTGCTCTCCCTGGGCAGGTTCTCGCAGGGGCTTGGTGGACCAGGCGGATACTGCTGATGTTCTTGTCTTCTGCATGCTGTGAGCTCTTCTGAGTACCAGCAGCCACTTGCACTCAGTGTGGTGACGGGACCGTTGTCTCGATCGGTTATTTAATCCTCAGAGTTCCTTTTAAGCCTGGTCAGCAACTACAGGCAGGTTTGGACCAGCACAGACATGCTACCGCAGGCTTGAGCTTCATCAGTTGCATGGCTTTTGTTTGCGTCTGTAGTGTCAGGGTTGTGAAGTTTTAAGAAACGTTTCCGCTCGTTTTGTCCCACCCACAGCTTAACTGAAATACGTAGGTGGCTCTTTTGCATAAACAAAATACTTGTCCGGCTTCTCTGTCCCGTTTGCGCAAACACCGCTGTGGGAGAGGTGCCTTGAACACGAGGAAGAACTTCTTCCCTCTGGGGGTGACGGAGCCCTGGAACAGGCTGCCCAGGGAGGTTGTGGAGTCTCCTTCTCTGGAGATATTCAAGACCCGCCTGGACAAGGTCCTCTGCAGCCTGCTCTAGGTGACCCTGCTTCGGCAGGGGGGTTGGACCAGATGATCCCTAGAGGTCCCTTCCAACCCCTAACTTTCTGTGATTCTGGATTGGCACGAGGGCTTGAAACCCTCCTCAGTCTGGAGAAGCTGCCGCAGTGCTGCGAGCAGCCCTGCCCGGCACAGCCCAAGTGCCGTCGTGGCTGGATCTTTACAGAAACCATACTTCAGAGTGTGTCGTCATCCTCACTTACAGGCTTAGCAAGTCTGATTAAATGTCACTTGCATTTCGGTTACCTATATACACAGATAAAAAATTAAGCTACAGCTTTTGAACTCGAAGAAGCTGCCAGATGCAGTAACTGGAATCGACATGTTCCCGAGAGTTATTTTTATTAGTTTAAAATACCTTTGTTTAACATAGAAGAAGCCTGGCTCATCCAAGTCAACATGTGCCATGTGACTTCAGCAGTTTAGTTATTGGTCTGCCAAAAAAGTTCCCCTGAAAACTGGGAAAGACGCTTGTGTTTTCCTCTCCCCGTTCATGACAGTGTAAGCCGGCAGGCAGCAAGTCAGTGCCGTGCTGGGGCTTGGGGTTTCTCTCGTGGCAGCCCCAGAGAGGCACGGGTGAGTGGTTTTTGTGGCCTCAGCCCTGTGGTTCCCCCTGTGCCAGCAGTGTGCTCATGGCTGCTGGGACGGTGGGATGTCAGAGGCAGAGACATCTCCTGCCTTCCCCCATCGTGTTGGAACCCATGGGGATGTGCGGGGGAACAGCGCTGAGCCTGTCGCAGATGTGATTGATTTTCCTGTGCAAACACAAACACTGGGTTTAAGAAAAACAAAACAAAAAGCAAAGGCTGATGCGGAATGGGTCGGACAGCTCTGAGCACCATGGCAGGGTGTCCTCCTCGCCCTTAGATGTGAAGTCTCCTTGCAGAGGTGCAGTTTCCTTCCCTGGAAGGAGAGCTTTGGTGACTTACCATCGCTTTCCCCAAGAAGAAACCAAAACTGAGCAAGTGCTTGAGTGAGTCAAAAGGCAACGGGTTGTGCTGGTGCGAGCTGAACAAATCCAGCCCTGCTGACCGCCCGGAGACCTCCTCCTGTGCTCTGGAGGAGGAAGAGGAGGAGAGGTCCATGTGTTTGGCAGGGCGAGGGCAGCAATGCGGGCAGCCTTTGAGTATGGAGCGAATTGTGCAATTCCCTCTTTCACCTTGTACACCCTGCTTCCTCCTGGGCTTGTTTCTGAGCTGAAGGATGTGGCTCTAAAATACACGAAAGTGCCTCAGTCTCTTAAAATGGGCTCTGCATTTTATTATATTGTTTTTAAAGCAGATAAAAGTTCTGATTGTCTCAGCTTGAGAAGCCTCAGTGGTGTAGAGGGTTTCCTGAAGGCCGGACTTGTGGCAGCCTGGAAGGAAGGAACCAAACGCACCTTTTTGAAAGCTTGGTTTGGACCGTGTGGAATGAGTGTGGTTTTGCCCTCAAACTGTAGCCCGTTCTGTGTGAAGAGCTCGGGTCACCCTCACCAAGTCTCACAAGTGTCCCTTGCTCCATGTGTATGCCTGCTCCGGCACCCGCATCCGAATCCTCGCTAGCTGACGTGATTCCTTCCCCCTCAGGCACTGGCTAACTGTGAAAATGTTTCAATTATATGGCCTAAATTTGTAACATGGAGCAGTTCATTACCAGTGAGTCCTCTTAATTGGGGCCTCCTACTGGGCAGCCTATTACTGAGTTTTCCCAATTAAGATGGGACCTCTTTGAAAAACATAAAAATAAACAAAGCCCTGGCAGAGAAGGACCACGTTGCAAGAAATACCGCCCTAACCTGTTTCAAAACTGTCAATAGTTCCAGCACCAGCCAAGTACTGCAACCTTCTGTACGGATTACTTGTGTCCCCTGCAGGAACGGACACGGTTTGGTGTCCGTTTAAGAAATTCACTGTCGTTAGCTCAAATCTTTTTTGTGTAAGGAGGAAAAATTTGTTACAAGGTGTTTCTCTGACGGAAGATGCTGTTTCCCCAAAGGGCTCTGTGGGTAACGCTGCTTTTGTGATTGCAGGTGAAGGACCTAACAAAGTACCTCGATCCGAGCGGACTTGGAGTCATCAGCTTCGAAGATTTCCATCGAGGGATCAGAGCTATCAAAAATGGAGGTGAGTTCGCTGCTGTGCTGTTAGGGGGGACGGGGAGACGCTGCATTTAACACCACGGGGGTTAACCCAGCTGAGAAGTCGCTTGGGTGGTGCAGCAGGCTTGGTGGTGGTGGCATGCTTTCCTTTTTATTGGGAAAGTTCCTTCCTGAAAGTAGATTGGAAACAGAAGAGCCGTCGAGGGAAAATGCCTTCTGCTTTGGTGTCTGCTCTCGATGGTGGGTGTGTGGGGACTTGCTGCTCTGACAGAGGAGCGGCTCTTGGCTGGCACACTGCTGGAGGTGTCTGTCTGTCCACTGCGGAGCATGACGTCTTCCGTACGCTGGGCACTAACGCGTTTGCCTTCGCTCCAACTATCTGGAGGATCAACGTGCTCAGATGATTTCTATCAAGAGGCACGTTAAACAGGAGCTTTGAGCTCACTGACAGGTAGGTGAGCTTGAAACAGGGTCCCACAACAGGCCTGTGGCAATCCCCACGTTGCTCTTTGCGGGCTTGCTGCAAGTGCTTCCAGAGCAATAGCTTGGTGAAATATGAAGTGTCTTGCTGGCTGGTTGGCATTTGAATTGCTTTGCTGAAGCAAAGCTGCTGTTTTTTCAGTTTGGGATTCATCTCTAGTAGGAGTGTTAGAAGGGCATTTTGGGGCAAGTGTGTTGTTAAGGGCAGGGTGTGAAAAATATTGGAAGCCTCCTGCTGAGCAGATGTAATTTTAAATGTGCAAATATGAATGATCACAGTTGTGCTTGAATCAATTCTGTTCGCAGCAATGCTGATCTTTAACTTCAGCGTTGCTTTCACGCAGCAATGAACATGGCCCGCGCTGTCAGCCCTGCACACCGAGCGTGCTCCTGAGTGCTGATACAAGCAAAGTGGTGAGAAGACTGATTATTCCTATAGAAACCACGCTGTTGCCTGGGTGGAAAACCCTCAGAGCAGAAGTGACTTCTGTTTTTCTGTTGGTTGTCCGTTCCTCCTGCTGCTCCCCCCTCCCGCCCGCAGGTGATTTCTGCTCAGGACGGCAGTGCTTTATGGCAGCTCGGAGGTTTTCGCGGCTGGTGGAGCTTGGCAGTGCAGCTGATTGCTGGTTCTCATGGTGCAGGAGGAAATGCAGCGTGCTATTAATTTGTAATAAATTGCTACTGGAGTAGAGTGTGTTTGTGAAAGCTCTGGCTTGTATTTCTCTTCAATAATTCATTGCTCCGGTATTGTGTTATATTAATTGAATGGAAAAAGCAGATCCAGACAAAGCTTTTAGGATCCCTATTTATTAAACTTGAAAGAGATTGATATGTGTTTATTACAGTGGTTAAGAAAGGGAGAGCTCTCTAACATTGCCCGGCATTAAACAGCCATAAAAGAAACCCAGGGCAGGGTACGGAGAGAGTTTCTTTTGAGTCTCACCAGCTGAGCAGTTGCTCGCGTTCGAGTGATCTTGAGGATTTGCTGCTGCTGCTGTTGAGGTAGTCAATATTGATCATCCCTTTGTAAAGAAAGAAGAGGTTATGCTTGTTGCTGGGTGTCCCTTTTAACAAAGTTTTGTTAATTAGCTGGGCCTGTTTCTAGCCAGAGATAGTTCTGTTACATTTGCAGGTACTCTGTGGTTCTTTGGTCAGTCACTGGACCGAGACCTGGTGTAAGCTTGTACCTTGCAATGTCTGTCTTACTGTAGGTAAGGGTTTATTTCTGAAGATGCTCCGCTTTTCCGTCCCTCTCCTCTTTCTCGGAGGCTCTCTGTAGGAGAGTAGCTCTGATTTTACTTGAACTCTTCTGGTCTAGCTTGGCAACCTGAAGGTGCAGTTACAAAACTAGCAAAACTTGCACGGTCAGCTGCTTTCCTTAGGACTGCTTTCGTGTTCAGCTGGCCTTTACGTCCAGGGAGGATACTAAACTCCTCGGTCCCATTCCTGTGCCAGCTGTTTGAGGTATGTTCGCACTGGCTGAGTAACATGCTGATCTAGGACTCCTCGAACTTGCCTCTGCCTTCAGTGTGGAGTAAAGCACCGTTTAACCACTCAGCAGCGAAAGCCAGGATGCCACCTCTCCGCTGCCATGAAACATTTCGGATCTCTTTGCTGCTGTGAGCTTTGTCTGGCCAGGTAATGCTGACCCCGGGAGGGAAAGAACGAGGTGACTTGGGTGCTACAGACACTGTGTGTGAGACTTCAGTGAGAGTCTTTAGCCTGTTGTGACTGCCTCATCTTCTGCTCTTCCCAAAAAGAAGACTTAATAGGAAAATGTGGTCCTCATAGATTGTATCAATGCCTGCAGCACATGTGTATGATTGCCACTGGAGTGCTTTGGGTGGTGGAGTCCTGCAGAGCGGAGACCCCGGGGGCTTGGAGGTGGTGAGCCCATGGCCCTTGGGTGGCTGGGCTCCATTCTCGGCCCCAGCTCCGAGCTGTTCATCGGAAGCAGGCTGGCTGAGGACTGCCTGGGCAGGCGGGGGCGCAGA